TCATGTAGGCTGTGTGAATAGCAGGACACTGAGTCAAGTCTGGGAGTTCACAATCTAGCCTGCACATATTAGGTATCAGATGATAGGCTGGTGCAGAGCTGTAAAGACACAGTGTTAGGTGTCCATTTTACAGGTTCTTGGTGAGTGTGCCGGATAGTTTTATGTCCACTTGACAAAAGCCAGGGTCACCTACTTGAAGGAAGGGAATGTCAATTGAGAAAATGGCTCTACTAGATCTGGCTGTAGGGCATTTTCTCAATAAGTGATTAATGGAGAAGGGACCAGCCCATTGTGGGTGGTGTGAGCCCTGGGCTGGTGTCCTGGGTTCTGTGAGGAAGCAGGCTGAGCAAGCCATGGGGGAGCAAGCCAGTAAAACAACAGCCCTCCATGGCCTCTGCATCAGCTCCTGCCTCCAGAGTCCAGCCCTATTTGAGTTCCTATCCTGACTTCCTTCAGTGGGCCTACAATGTGGAGGTGGAAGCAAAATAAACCCTTTCCTCCCCTACTTGATTTCGGTCATGATGTTTCATCAAAGCAATAGTAACCCTGACTAGGAGAGTGAGGGAGTTACATCCTTCTCTTGGTTTGGTGTGTGGGGTAGGTTCTTGGGCCTGGTTTCCCTGATATGATTTAAATATGCTCATGTGTCCCCAAATTTTCAATTATCCCCAATAAAATTATAGTGTGTCTCCCTTTATAATCCCAGGAATTAGTCCTTTGTCAGTCTGGATGGGTGGTGCCATAGAGGAATTAAAGTTCAGAATGTGGCTGCTCTGGCAAGAGAGCACATCTGAAGACCTAGGTCTGTGTCATCTGGTTGGAATACAAACACATCTTTAATCCCAGGAGACAGAGGCAAGCAGATCTCTGAGTTGAAGGGCCAGCCTGATAAAGAGAAAGTTTCAGGTAAAGAAAAGTTTAGGTCTAGGCATGGTGGTACATGCCTTTAATGCCAACACTCAGGGGACAGATGCATGTAGATCTCTGGGTTCTAGTCAGTTCTGTTCAGGCAGTTCGGTTGAGTCACTTAGTTGAGAGGCAGTGCAGTTCATGGAATACAGAGGCAGTTTTACTGGGAGAGTTTTACAGAGACAGGTTGTAGTGAGAACAAGCCAGACACAGGTGAAGACAGAATGAGCCAGAGAATGAGAAGGGGCCAGAAAATTAGAGCAGATTGCTATCATTAGTTTGAGGCTAAGCAGAGCTATTCAGTAAGAAACTGAGATAAGCCAGATTGAATCAGTCAACTTGGAGAGGGATTTGAGCCTGAACAGCTGAGTTGAACAAGCCAGCCAGAGCTCAGAAAGAACTAGAAAGGGTGAGCTTCTTCAAGCAGTGATTCTCAGAGGCTGAAAACAACATTCTAGACCTAGATTGGATGGTATGGAGGCTGGAAGCGTCCAGGATCTGTGGTTCCGTGGTATAACTTAGATTAGGACCTAGCCTTATCTCTTTATTGTAGAGATGTGAAAGAGAGAAGTTTGAAGGGAACTTCTTAGACAATGAAGGTTTGAAAACAAAAACCAAACCCGGGGCTACGTATCTGCACATGGTATTAGTTGTGGGGTTTTCTAGGAGATGTTTTCTGACACTAGATTTACACTCTGAGTAAGATGAGATCCTTGTTCTTAAGTACCTTGCAGTTCTGAAAAATACAGAGATGTAGATTCCCTAAATCAAAGTAAAGGGATGATATCAGAGCAGGTGTGGCTAATTTGAAAAGGTCTGGTAAGAGAAAGGGAAGGAGAGAGGGCAGGAAAGAGGGAAAAAAAAATAAGGGAGGAGAACAAGGGGAGATATATTACAAAGGAAAGAAAGAGAAATACCTAATAGTAGTCAACTGTATACAGGAGGAAAAGATTCACAAATTTATTAATGCAATTTGCATAAATTATATGTGTAGTTTTTTTTTTTTTTCCTGCCTCAATAGCTAGAGCTTCTTTGAGCATGTCCTAACCTTCTTGTGCAAGAGAGCTGACCTTAGGGACAGAACTGTTTACTCTAGAATTCAAACAGGTCTGGGCATGTCTCGTGAAGCAGGCTTGTGGTCACCAAGATCCTAGTCTCCTGATACTGATGAGGGTAAATTGATGTTTCAGAAGCAGCTTGTTTGGAATAAAAATCACAGTACAGAGGTCAGATCTCAAGACTGGGGGCTCTGGAGGCTAGATTTTATTAGTCATTCATGCTTTATTTTTACAATCATGTTTTCAGTAGCCAGGTGTGTGTATTTAGTTCATGCTATGTCCTGCAATAAGTTACTCCATACTGTATAAAAAGTGGGTTTTCAGATGGTGCCTTCCTCAGACAGACTCTATTTTACAAGCGGCTGTTTGGGGCAGAAGGATGACTGGGCCCCTGGATGGGCATGTGAACAACATCATACGTCTGGCATCATTCATGTAACACAAACTATCAGTAGCTTCTTTCTGGGATTATAAAAAGGGCTATTCTCTAAGTTTGTATGGGGCACATAGGTATGTTAAAATCATAGCAGGGAAATTAGGAGCAAGAATATAAAGGGCAGACCAGGCTGGGGAAAGGTACAGCTCCCTCACCTATACCTCGTACAAAGATGGGTTTTCTAACACGGGGATGGCCCAACTGCACAGCTTATCATCTGATAGTTGGGGTGTCATCAAGGCCTGATGGGCAGAGAACTCTCTTAATTGTTTCTGGGACTTCAGCTCATTTTGGTTCCCAGCTGTTGATGTGGCCTCCTTGCCTTGCTGTCTGTCTGTTCATCTGTTTGCCCACCTGGACCTGCATCAGCCATTTCCTATTCAAATCAGGTTCGGCCATCTCCTCTTTCCAGCTGACTATGTCTTTGCTCTGAAACACTACTCACCCATGTCTGCTTTTTACAGCAGTAGCTTCCCTATGGGTCTGGGTTTGTTACCTTATCTTAACTCCTCTCAGCCCAGTCTGGAAATCTCTCAAGCCCTAGTATATTCATTCTGTACACCAGATACACATACACAGGTATATTTACTGTGTGTTACATAATAGAGTTAATATTCTCGATGAAGGTTGGATTGGCAGAACCTGCATTTGTCTTAGCCAGATCACCTGAGTGGGAAGGATTTTCCAGCAGATTGCTGCTGTTGAAGCTGCTACACCTTATGAATTGGTTGTCAGTTAATACATTTGGACACTATGGAAAGGTACAAACATGTTCATCTATATTTCTGGCAAAGCCTATTCATGACAGTACTGTGCATGTATGTGTATGTGAATGTTCGTATGGACACCAGAGGTACACCCAATGTCCTCCTCAATCGTTCTCCACTTTAGTTTTGAGATAGCATCTCTCACTGAACCCTGAGTTTATCGGTTGGCTAGTTGGGTTAGCAAGTGAGCCCCTGGGATGCGACTGTTTCCTTAGTGTAGGCTTCACAGGCACATGCTACTGTGCCAGGGTTTTATGTGGGTTCTGGGGCTCCAAACTAAGGTCCATATGTTTACACAGCAAGTCATCTCCCCACTGAGCACCGCCCCCACCCCAGCCCTGGTAGGAATTTTGAAAGTCACATATTTTGTTTGTGAATGAAGTATGACTTTTCATTTTTCAAAAACTGCATGAAAAAACAGAATTTTCACAAAACATTTAACATAAGTTAGCATTTTTTTTCCCATGGAGGCCGTATTAGTGTGGCCAATTTAAGCAAATATAAATCTATCAAAGCAACATGGGTGGAAGTGGAGCACAAACTATTAAATAAAACAAGGCAGACACAGGATGGTGAACACCACATATGTCTTACTACTATGTGGAAGTTAGGGAGGTTGATGTTTCCAGAACAGAATACAATAGTGATTACCAGAGCTGAGGAAGGATGAGCAGTGGGCTAATAGAATGACGTGGGTAAAGAGTACTCTCCGCACCTTAACCCAAGCAAGTTAAGGAAGGGAGCAGTAATTCTGGCCCAGGGTTCAAAGGTGCAGGCCATCATGGTGGGTCTCATCTCATAGCAGCAGCCACTGAGACAGCTGGTCGCATTTCATCCACATTCAAGAAGCAGAGAGATGAATGCTCACTTTTTCCTTCTCTTATAGTCCGAGATCCTAGGGGAGGGAATGGTGACAGCCACAGTGGGCAGGTCTTCCCATCTTAATTAACCTAATCAAGGTAATCCCCAACAGGTATGGCAAGAGGCCTATCTCCCAGGTGTACAGCCCTACTGAAAACATTCTAATACTCTTGCAAAAAAGTTAATAGCACAATAAAAAGATTACGCTCAAAGATAATGCCTCATCAGACACAGCAGCACATGAAGTGTTTGTGTTATTTCATGAGTTACAGCTCCTTATTTATATTGAATACGAGTTTTTCTAAATCAACTTGGGAATTTTTTGTCACATTTTAATGTTTTTTAAAATATTTTTTAAAATTAATTACACTTTATTCACTTTGTATCCCCCTATAAGCCCCTCACTTCTCCCCTCCCGATCCCACCCTCCCACCCCCTTCTTCATGCATGCCCCTCCCCAAGTCCACTGATAGGGGAGGTCCTCCTCTCCTTTCTTCTGATCTTAGTTTGTCAGATCTCATCAGGAATGGCTGCATTGTCATCTTCTGTGGCCTGGTAAGACTGCTCCCCTCTCAGGGGGAGGTGATCAAAGAGCAGGCCAATCAGATTATGTCAGAGGCAGTCCCTCTTCCCTTTTAATGTTTTTTTTTTTTTTAAACTGGAACAAAATAATTGGATATATTTATGGGGTATGTTGTGATAATTTGATTTTCATACAAGGTACAATGATTAAATCTGGATAATTAACATTTCTCTCTACTTAAATATCTGTTTTTTGTTTTTTTTTTTGTATAGAGAAACTTTAAACCCCTCTAGTTCTTTCTAAAATGTGCAATAAACTGTAACTATTATCACACTACTGTGCTTTGAGACACTAGGATTTCTCTGTTTTCTAACTGGGACTTTTAGTCTTCTAGTGTTTGTGATGGTTACTGTCAACTGATGACTTGATGTTCTTTGGAAACATAGGTTCGGATGGAAGCAGCTCACCAGGGATGTACCAGGACAGAACAGGGAAAGTGGCTGGCGTTCTCGGAAAGACAGACATCGCTTTAACAGTAGAAGGGATAGAGTAGAAGAATCCTCCAAATGGAAAAGAGCCGTGGCAGGTACTATTGAGCTTGGAGAAGTGTAAAGGTTGACACGTGGCAACAAAATTAAGATTTTGAGATGTTACATTGGACTCAAGGACAGATTTTTATTTAATTTCTCAGTGTATCATTGTAGGAGCAACATATGTGGAATACTGGCAAGGGGCTAAAGAAAAGCATGTTTTCTTTCAGCCGGAAAACCATGGTGTGTTTTTGGGTGATACCCGAGGAAGACAATAGAGCTAAATATAAAAAGAGAAGCTCAGGAGTTGGAGGATTAAATAAAATGTAGAGAATGTAGACATTGGAAGCAGGAGAAGACAGGGAATGGGACAGGAGCCCACTACAGATGGCCTTTGAAAGACTCCACTGTTTGAGGTATCGAAGTAGAGGCTGAGACTCGTAGTCAAACTTTGGGCAGAGTGCATGGAATTTTATGAAAGAAGGGGATATAGAAAGACCTGGAGGGGACAAGAGCTCCAAAAGGAGATCAATAGAGCCAAAACAAACAAACAAAGAAACCAAAACCAAAACAAAAACAAAAAAAACCTGGGCCCTGGGGGTCCTGCAGAGACTGATACTCCAGCCAAGGACAATGCATGGAGAGGACTTAAAACCCTGGCTCAGATGTAGCCCATATACTCAGTAAGGGGAACAGGGGCTGTCTCTAACATGAACTCAGTGGCAGGCTCTCTGATCACCTCCCCCTGGGGGTGGGCAGCCTTGCCAGGACACAGAGGAAGACAATGCAGCCAATCCTGATGAGACCTGATAGATAGGCTAGAATCAGATAGAAGAGGAAGAGGTCTTCCCCTATCAGTGGACTAGGGGAGGGGTATGGGGGGGAGAAGAGGGAAGGAGGGAGGGTGGGATTGGGAGGAAATGAGGGAGGCAGCTACAGGTGGGATACAAAGCGAATACATTGCAATAAATAATAATAATTAATAAAAAAGAAATAGGAAAAATGTAAAGAATGAAAAGCTTTCATTTAGAAGTACAAGGAGAGGGAGGACTCAGCCATGGAAAAGGCCCGGAAGGAGATAGGATCAAAGATGAAGGGTGTGGACTCAGTTAACTTGGACGTGGGTCATCAAATCCCTGAATTCCAGCATTATTAGATAATCACTAAAGCTTTCCCAAATAATTTAAAATAAGAAAGGAAAAGCCTACTTTATAAAACAAGGTAGCCTGTCATGGTGGCACATGCCTATGATGCCAGGAGAAGGAAGCAGCAGGAAGGCCAGGAGTGAAAGGTCATCCACATAGTGAGAGGTCAAAATAGACTACATGAGACCTTGACTAGAAGGGAAAGGGAGCAGACATATGTAGATTCACCCCGTATGAAAAAGTTGTAAATCTAGCATACAATTTAAAACTCAGAACTGTGTCAATTTATAACATAATTTGCTAAACCTTTGGACAGCTAGAGTATTTTCCAAAGCTTTCCATATTAACACTGCAAAAAACAAAACAAAACAAAACAAAACAAAACAAAACAAAAAACAAAGATGGTCACCCCTGGCGGCAGAAAGAGGTATGTTTTTCATCTTTTGAGAGACGTAAAATGACTTGACACTTTTCTGTCTCGTAAGAAGACAGTGGCTGGATTTTAAAACATGAGCCTTGATTTCTGACTTCCATTTTAGGTCAGCCTCGAGGAGTGGTGTGTATCATTGCCAAAAGCACTGTTGACATTTTGAATTATAGTTGTTAACACCTGGGACAATAGCGTGGGCTCCTACATGACAAAGCCTCTGACATAAAGCTGCTTATTCTAGGGGCATTGTCAGCAGTGGGTCTGAGAGCAACTTGTTAACTAATTCTTGGTGCATTATTTTATACAGTGAATAAGAGAGAGGCACCCACACAAGGCCAATGCCCTAGTGTGAGCTTTACATAATAGTAGCAGGAAAGTGAGCTTAATTAGTCTCTTCCAGTAAAAGTATTTGAAAAATTTTCCATTGCCCAATACCATCCCATAATGGAAAATACGCTGCCTGGGAAGGATGTGTAAATATTTGAGTCGAGTTTAACTGATTTCAGTGTCACACACAACCCATCAATCATTAACACTTCAAAAAAAAAAAATATCTGGCTTGATGTTGCCAAGGCACATTCTCTCGCTGAAGACTTTTCAGACTCTCACCAGAATTCCGCAGGTCCCTGGTAAGCACCTGGCCTAATCTGTTATTGTCACAGGTGACAAAACAGAGCCTAGGAATGTCTGGGCCTCAGCTGGCTCCCAAGTGCTTCAGGTTCTCAACTTCCGCTTCCTTCTAAGACCCTAAGCACAGTTACTTCTCACCTCCTGCTCTGCAGGAAGTGCCTCAGAGTACAGTGACATGGGCAGAGCTGTAGTGATGGGAGTGAAACAGTCTGGAAAACTATAGGCACAGGCATCTGTTTCTGAGGCTACTTTCTGCGGTCCTTCATTGCACAGAACGACAGCGTCCACTGGGTAGAAGGTAGAGGCAGATGGACTGAGACGTAGTTCTACGTCAATCTAGACTGTAGATAGACATCTTGTCTCAAACGCTAACGCCAATGCTGGGCACAGTGCCTCATGCCTATAATCCCAGCGCTTGGGAGGCTGAGGTGTGAATGAGGGTTACTGTGAGTTGCAGGCCAGTGTGGGCTATACAGTGAATTTCAGGCCAGCCTAGATGACGTAGCAAGGCCTTGGATTGAAAGAGGAAGAGAGAGAGAGAGAGAGAGAGAGAGAGAGAGAGAGAGAGAACTTAGAACTTAATCCACTGGAGACCAAACCAAGCCAAATCCTCAACTCTTTCTATCCTCTAGAGAAATAACTATGACACCATTAGCTTGGTGTTACATTACCGTGACATTGAATAAGGTTACCACACTAGTGGGTGGTCTGTGGCATATGGAAAAAATCACTACAGTCTGAGTGGCATTTGACATTCTTAAAGCTCTAGATAGCAAACAGCCTGGGTTATTAAATTTCTAGCCTATATATTTTTTCTTTAGAAAACAATTATACATCTATTAGATGATGACTTTGGTCTAAATGAACTCAGTCAACCCAAGTCTTTGGCCATGTGTGGTCAAAGCCCCAACCTTTAGGCATTTGAAATATCATGGATTCTGGCTGACAGGTTGAGAGAGTAGAAAGCCAAGGTGAGAGCAGCATTAATTTGTGGACGAAAGGCTCTGGCTTTGGAATAAACATTTAACATTGAAGGATGCTTTGGGTGTGTTTAGGCAAAGCAGCTGTATTGTAACCTGGGTAGACATTTAGGAAATCCGTGTTCTTCTGAAAGAAATTTTGTCTCCGGGTATGGTCGACAGTGAACTTCATACACACTTCAGAGGCGCCCACTGCAGTGGCCTGGAGCTTCAGCTAACAGGACTCTAGTTACCTTTCTCCCTCTCTTTTTCAACAGTTCCAGCTCCTTGCTTTTTAGCCAGTGCTACGGCTGAGGCCTCATCATGTTTTCAATCTCTGAAGATCAGAGTTAATGTGGAGTGACAGCCCATAGCCCACACATTGGGGACCTTGCAACAGAATGGGAGGATGTACTAACTCAGGCCAGTGAGCATGTGCAGAGGGCACTGTTCAGTCTTGCCCTCTTCACAAGCAGATCCCTGAGCACGGCTCATGCTGTTGCTGGAGATGTTGTGGCTCACTCCCTTAAAATGCAAAAATGTCCAGCTCAGAGCTTGGCTTGATGCTTGCTATCTGCTAACCTCTAAATTATTAACTGAATTAAATAAAAACAGATAGACAGACAACAGAAATACAAGTGGTTCAAGATAGGTGTCTGTAGACAAGTGGTAACGGATTTAAAAAAAATCATTTCTTTCCCTCCCCTTTCCCTAAGAAAAATATATTGAAATTAAAAATATTTCAATCAATATTTCAATTTTTCCTATGTAACATTTTAAAGCTCTGGGCTACAGATATGGCTAGAAAAGAAAAGAAAAGAAAAGAAAAGAAAAGAAAAGAAAAGAAAAGAAAAAAGCACCTGCTGGGAAGGCATGACTATCTGAACCCATGTAAAAGTCAGACATAGCCCGGGTACCAATGATGCCAGAATTGCTACTGGCACGTGAAGACAGAAGGACCCACAGAAGCCCTCAAGCCAGCTAGCTGGGTCTGTGTAGCAGAAAATTAATAAAAAGACCTTGCCTCAAGGTGGAAGGAATAACTCACAGGCAAGGTTTTCCTCTGACCCCCACACATGCACTCAGATTGCACACACACACACACACACACACACACACACACACACACACACACACAATCTTTTTGTAAAGTCTTATTTGGTTGCTTGGTAGTAATGACAAGAAATACACGTTAATTTGGGCATTATTTTTTACTTTATGTGGCAAATAGTAAATAATGAAAATTAGCATTGAAAAATATTAAAAATCTGTTGGGAACCAGCATGAAGATAATAAGACTCAGAGCTTTGGAAGCCAGCACCTGACAGGGCAAATGTGCTGTTTTCTCACATGGTAATTAGGGCTAATAATAGGACCTAGTTCATAGAGTTGCTTTGAAAACTAAATACAGTGACACATGCTGGTAATAACAGAAATCAGTTGTGATGCAGACACCTTAAAAATTTGATGCAATTATATCAACACCAGAGAGCTCAATTACGAGGGAGAAAGAAAGGCTTTATGCATCTACAAAGGTTTAAATTAATATGGAAAACTTAATAACCCCCAAAATGTATATGCACCTAAAAACCAGAGCTTCCAAATACCCAAAGAAGACATGAAAAGCAGATCGTTAGCCTGCTTTCTTGGGAATGAACAGGTATGTGGAAAATCAGTAAGAGTTCAACATAAAACCACAATAATAGTATAAAAATAGCTTACCCACTGATTGGGGCCATAGTTCAGTGGTTTTCACCTGATACGCAGAGGGCCTCAAAAATCATAGTCAAAATCCAACCTGACCTAGTCACAGAGAGCTCCATTAGAGACACCTGATTATAGAAGTCGAGACATTTTAGAATGTATTCTTCAAAACAAATCTCAGAGAAACG